AGCTTTGAAGAATTTTGTGAGAAGGGACAAAGAAAAAATGAAAATAAATCAAGTTCTAGGATGTTATTTGAAGGGACTAAAGATCAAGATTGTTAGAAGTAAAAGGAAGGAATATAGAGTTGGTTTATTTGATTTATTTGATTAAAATAGACATGTTGTTATTTCTGGTAACCCTTAATGGACTTTTGCTGACATCAGGACTGAAATGACAAGGCTTTAGGATTTGTTTATAGATAAGAGATGGGACATGGGAAGAATAGATCATTTGTTGTATTTTAAGAGAAGATGAAAAGTTACTAAAATTGTTTATACTTGTTGTGATAAAGGGGGAAGTCATTTATTTATATATTTCTTCTCTTTCTTTTTCTTTACTATATTCTTATTTTTTCTTTTTTTCTATTTTTCTTTCTTTTTTCTGAGAAAATGATTTTTTTTAAAAATATTTTTTTACCCCACAGCAAGTCATCTTGATAACAAAAAGTAATTCAAAACTATGAAATTGTAGAAGTACTAACTCTGAGGTTCTGTAAAGAGAACAAATCCACCAAAAAAAAAAAAAAAAACCTGACAGAACCTGACATTAATTAATCATTCTACATTCATCACATAACTAATAAAGTAAGGAACTGGATGCTAAGAAAGAGCCAAAATGGATTCAATAGGACCAATACACTAGGCCTCCTAGCACACTCTAAATGGGTTAGGACTGCAATTTCAAGAATGTCCCAGCTAGCATGGCCAAAGGCAGCTGGGAATCACAGTTGCAATACATCTGTATAGTATCTGTTTGGGTAAAGCTGTGCTGGTTCTGGCTAGGGGTCCACCACAGAGATTACAGCTTAATGTTCACAAGGTGCTTGCTGTATGACTTCACTCATCTAAAATTCTTTCCAAAAGAATTCCCCATTTCATAGACAGCTGCCTTCATTAACTCATTTAGCTCAGAAAAGTTTTCACTAAGTGAAAACTAATTTCATGATTACATTCAAGAATTTTAGACAGAGAGAAGTTTTTATCAGACCTACCAGGAGATACCAGAGTTTGTTTTTGTTTTTCAAACGAATATGGGTATAAGACAATATTGTCCAATTAATCAGAGATAAGTACTTTTCTTTTGTGAATATGGTGGCACCACTCAGGTAATTCTTTTTCCTATACAAATGCTGTTGTGTAAACTCAGTGTCCCAGGACTGACCTTTATAGTTTAATAGTCTGGGATCAGCTTTTATGAAGACAGAACCAGCTCTACTGTGACGCAGTTTCCTCAAGCCAGTATCGTTTATCAAGACACTGCTGAGTTTCTGTTGCTGGAATGAGAAACAGTTCTTGTGGGATTTCCTGCCTCATGTGCTAAAATAACTTCCCTCGTCTAGGATACTATGCACCTTGACATGGGTAGGTGGGGATGTTCTGTCTGCTCCATCTTGATTGATTATGTGCCATGCTGGTCATCCTCTTCTCTTTCCTTCCACCTTTCCCAGTATTAAGGACTTCTCAAGGGAGCTTGGTCTTTGCATAACATCCAAAATATGATCATTTGAGCCTGGTCATTTCTGCCTCGAGTGAGAACTCTGGGTTAATGTGTTCTATGAGTGCTCCACCTTAGGGAACAAAATATCTTGGGTCAAATCCTGCTTGAAGCTGACGTATATATGAAACTGCCTAAACCTTGAAATGGGCCAGAGAAGCACTTGATTGAGGATCTTCTGCAGGCAAGAATACTTTTGGGTGTACATAGTCATGTCTCTTTGAGGTATCTCATCACTCAAAAAGCACACATTTGTCCCTCAAAATTTTGTTTTAGACAGTTTCTCTCTATATTACAGATTTATATATGTGCGTGTGCACATGTGTGTTATTATCATCTGTGTTTTGATAGAGGAAATGAGGAACCTATAATTTAATTCAGTGTTTGTAACAATTTCTTAATTAGTTGCATCATTTAATATTGGTGATAATTTCAGTTTCCTGACCTCATGTGTTTTGTGTGGCTGTTTTAGTTTTTATAGTTTTAGTTTTACTATTTAGATTTTTATTCCAAACTCTTAGATTTTCAATATCTACGTATACACATGGTAAATTTAACTTGTAATTTCTGATTGTATGTGAAATACAACCCATATCAAATTCTTATTTGATACAGGGGTATGTGGGTTCTTAACAGTTAATAGGCTTTTTTCAAGGTTTCTGTAGAAACACATATGCAAATATGGCTCTTCTGTACAATGCATAAGAAAGAAATAATTGAGAACCTACTTGCACTGAAGCAACAACATTTATTGAAACCCATCTCATTCAGAGCCAGGAAAGTTGTACCTCTGTAGCATAATTGTTATTGTCATTTGGAAAATTGGTAACTATTACAGAAATACTGTGCTGGGTTGATAAAATATATTAAGCCAGAGATGGGCAACCACAACCCCATTTATAGGCCCCCACACCCATTTATAGACTATCCAAACACCCTAAGATTGCAATACTGAAATCTGATGTCAAAATGGCTAATTGTAGGTGGTTTCATTTGTAGGTGAAAAACAGGAAAATATGAACAGGAATGTAGGGCTCATTCTCACTGTTAACTCCTAATGTCAGGATCTACGCAAGCCAGAACCTTCATTTGTTTTCTTATTGCTTTTACTTTTATTGCTAAGTATATATCAATGGGTGAATAGT